CCGCGCCTTTGCTGGCTCGCCCAGCGCAGGTGCCGGCGCAGAGGGGCCACGCTGCCAGAGCCGTGGTGCGGCGCGGGGCAGCCAGCACAGGACAGCCGGCACGGGGCAGCTGGCACGGTGCGGGGGGCTCGCCGGAGCCCCCGGGACCTGCGCCCAGGGGTGCCTGAGGGGCCCCCGAACACAACCGAAGGGCTGTGGGCCCTGGAAAATCTGTTTGGGAACAGCGAGTCCACGTCTCTAGCAAGGATAAGATTTACAAACGCATCCAGCCCGACCTACTGAGTGGAACTTCGAAGATGGACCATTAAAAACAAAAGGGGGAAGGCACGGGGAAGCAGCAGCTCCAGCCAGCAGCGCTGAGGGCGCTCGCTGGGTTGCGTGCCGCGTACCGGGCTCTCCGTTGTGCCACTGACAGATGCTCTTCCTCCCAACAAAAAAACAGAGACAAACCTCATCGGGCGATATTTTACCCAAGTCACTGGCGTTGCCGCAAGGGGCTGGCGTGAGGTGCGGAGAGGCGCAGGGCACGGAGGTGCGGATCCGAGGCGTGTGGCGTCCCGCGGCGCCGCGGGCGGTGACGACTCCGGTCCCGGCCGCACGCGGCCACCAAAGGGCTCCTGGAGCTACTGGGAGGGGGTGACCCGGCCAAGGCTGGGGGGGCCACCGCTCACCCTCTCCCCGCCTGACGCTGGACCTTCGCGCGGCCCCGCCACGCTCCGCCACATGGGCCCCGTGCTCCGCACCAGCAGCAGCCGGCCTTCGGAGGCAGATGACGGTCAGCCGGGGGATCGCCGCGTTTCGGGGCCGCGAGCTGCGGTGGGCAGCGATGGGGCCAGTGCACAAAAAGCAGCACCGAGTCAGGGAGGATGAGGAGCTCAGTGGAGGAGAAGCCGAGCAGCGAGAGGCTGGTGCAGCTCCTGATGTGCCGGTGAAGGGCCCGTGAGCCGCCGGCGCATGCTCCGCTCCGCCTGACGTGCCGGGGCACTCGTGAGGGAGCGCCAGGCGGCCACAGCAAAATTGCCAGGGCTGGGGAAAAGCCCTGCAGGGAACCAGGAGGGAGCCTGAGCTGGTGTCGGGGGGGGTCGGGGGGCCACGGGGGCAGCACCCGGTTGTGCCCAAGCCTTCGCCGCAGAGCAGGCACTGCCCGGCGGCGTGGCCGCCGCCCCAGCGCTGCCGGCTGTCTGCTCTTTTCCCTCAGCTTTTAGTAAGGTTCAGACCAGCTATGCTCTCTTCGCCATGGAGAAGATAACCGGTTTTAATGGAAAACCTGGCACAAATGGAGCTGCCGCCCGTCCAACAGCTCTGTTAGTCTACGCTAAGAGCATTTACATATGAATTATGGCCACCTTCAGACTCAAATATGATGTTCTCTCTCATTTACACATTTTCTGCAGTTCTTCCTTCGTTGCAGCCCGATGACTGTGCCAGGCCCTGGGTGCCGAGGTTTCAAGGACCACCCGTGCCGGCTCCCGTGCAGCGATGCAGCGGGGACCTGGGTCCCCCCAGCAGCCACCAGCCCGTGCAGCTGAGCACCTCTCCCCAGGGCAGGGCACCCAGCACCGGGCGCTCAGGGACCGAAACCCGGCACCTCCATCAGCCGCGCCGGGAGGAGATACGGTCCCTGCAAGCAACCGGCTTTAAAAGGTGCCGCCCGGCACTGCACGGCGAGCTAAAACCTGCCATGTCACCTGCCTGAACTAAAGTGAATTTAAAATACAAACAACAAAGCCAGTGTTAAGTTAAAAGGAGAAAAAAACAGACAATGGATGATCCCAATAATGGGAAAAGATAACAAAGCCCCTGGATCCTAGCATCTGGCACTAAATGCACTTTTCTGTAAACTGAATGGCGGCTTCCAAACTGCGCCAAGCATCACTCCTTTGCCAAGGCAGTAAACAGCTTTTATCAGCAATAATGATGGCATAATCCCAGCTAAAAAGGAAAGTAACATATGGCAGCAGCCCTACAAACACCATCCCAACAAAGTAGGGGGCATTTTTATTACAGCGTCCACTTGCAGAAAACCTGCCAGACTACTTCTCTCTTTTCTCCTCTCTTTTTTTACAGGTTATCATCTTCGCTGTTTGAGCTGAATGTGGCATTTGGGAGTTTTAAACTAATGAGTTCATTTTTCTAGGAAAAAAAAAAAAAAGAGGAAGATAGGATACCCAGAACTGACAGATGACAACGAACACAAACAGTCTTGTGAAATGAACATATATGCTTAACACAGTGCTAGGGAAAAATAAATGCTGCAAAGGTGCCACATTATTTCAAATATTATTATACAGTTTAGTCTTAGGTGCAATGTTGTGTTTGGAAAACAAATATGTGGGAAGTAATAATTCAGACCTTAAACAATTTTTTTCTCTAATGATGCAATATGTTATATAGGAGCACTGCTAATAGGTCAGGTGTAAATCAGTGCAAATTTTGTTTACAAGCTGATTTCAAAAACAAAATTAATCTAACATTATTAACCTTTTTTAATGGCTGGCATCCTCATTTATATTTGTGGATCTAATATTCACAAAACTGATTTTAAGCCCAACTGTGTATTTATCAAAACCAGCATGAGACACAACGCCCGTGTGAAACACATTGGGGTGGACTAAAGGATAGTTTGCTGTCACACTGTCTTGCTTTTAATTGATGAAACAGCAGTTCGCGTTTTCCCTATCTTTTATGATTTGCTGAAATACCATCTCCAAGTAAAGAAGAGATTCCAATCTCACTTTGGCTCTGCAATCTCATCATGCAATTATTTGAAAACATTACGATTCACTAATTATCATGCTAATTATTTTGCCCTATACATTTGCCATCATGTTGTACAATTAAACACAGAACCCAAACCTTTGTTTACGCCATGCAAATGTGTGTGCTGATTGGGGAACGAATGTGGAAAAGTGGAGGAATGCACTAATATTTTTTTGACATCTTTACCTATAAATATTTTTTCAGACTGAAAAATGTATCTAATAGCTCCACTCACTGATGTGCACTGCAGTTTACCACAGTGTCTATATTTCTGTTGTCAGTTTTACAGTATCTCCCTTCATTAAACCTATCAAGTTTTCCTTTTGATCATGCAACCAAGGCCAGAAGACAGATATCTTCCTGGAACAGAGCAGTCTGCCAAGTCTTTCACAAGACCAGCTTTAACCTCCCTATTGATTTTCTCAACACTGCAGCCATTCATTGTTTGTGACATTTGGCTGTCGGCTCTTTAACACCCTTCAACCAAATCAATTTCATATTTTTGTCAATGCCCTGCTAGAGGATGAGCAAAATGGGAAGAGACTTAGCATGATTTAGAATGTTGATTTTCTAGAGCGGTTTTATCTGTAGTTTTTACAAGCCTTATAAAGTTAATTCAACATGTTTATTTAAGCATATGTAATAAATTGGGAGAGAAGCACTACCAGAGTTAAGTTTCAAATTCCTCAAATCTAATTCATGAAGGAAACTAAATTATTATATCAATGTCAGTAAAAATAAATGTGCGGCAATCATGTTCCCTCCAAAACCAAAATACAAATTAGGCAGGTCCCTGCCCTGCCCCTGCCTGCCGTACCAAGCCCCGTGTCAGCGCCATGCCCCAGCACCGACAGACCCACCAGCAGTGCCGGTACCTCCCGGGGGCTCCTCCACCGCTGCCCCTCTGCGTAACAAGGGGTAGCGAGGCTGGGCCCTAAAAGAGAAAGAATTGTGCTTCCAAGCAATGGACGTTACCAAACAGCACTCGCAGAGCCGGAGAGCAAGCCGTGCCCCGCACAGGAGGGCGCAGGGGAGATCCGAGCCAGATCCTGGAGGACGGAGGGATGATGGAGCCCTGGGTGGCTCTGCCCAGACTGAGTCTCCAGCCAAAACCCTCATACGGCAATCGTACCTCTTGGTGCACGATTTCAGGGATGCTGTTTCCCCACCACTGCCGGCAGCCCCGCTGCTACGAGCTGCTCCAAGCGCTGCCGGCACAAACGGGGACCACTCACTGCAGGAAAGCCGGCGAGGAGCCCAGCCTTTGCTGAGCCCTGAGCATCCCACGACCTTCCAAGCCAAGCGGGGGGGACTGGTAAAACACAACCACAACTCCAACCCAACCCAACCCAAAACAAACAGCGCTGCTGTAATGCATCTGTCACCAGATGGACGTGGGAAGGAGAGTCAGCTGAATGCCCGAGATGGGACTGCCGGTCCAGCCCCAGCCCCACACCTCCCCCTCAAGCCCACACGCCGTCGCTCTGACCCGCACGTGGACCCCAGGGATGCGTTTTGGGGCTGAAAACGCTCACAGCCAGCCTGGGCTTTCTGAGCCCCCCTGTGCTCTGCTGCGCACCGGTCTCTTTGGCTGGGGCAGAGATGTGCCAACGGAGTGGGGCACGTGTCTTGCCAGTGCTGAGCTCGGTGTGCCCCCCTAAGTGTGCACAGCCTCCGAGTGGCAGATACTGTAGTGGGAATCATTTTTACACAACATATGTATCTGATAGACCAGCGGCATTAAAATGTGGATTAACAGCCTGGCAGCTTGAACAGCTTATTTGGAGTCAGTAGGCACCGTGGTGTAAATATGTATTTAGGGCATTTCTAAGATGCAAGTTGAAGATGCGGCGGATTATACCCGTGCCTCCCTGCACACCTGGATTTATGCTGTGTTTATTAGAAGGCCTATAGATACCGTAGGCTTGGTAAATATTGTTATGGAAGCAGTTACTGCCTGTAATGATCTAGTCTGATCTTTTGTGTTTGCCTACACATCCCCTCACGCTTCTGGTTTAATCTCCTACCCTCAGGAGGCACGTCCAAAGACAGGACAAAAACGCGTTCGCCACGTAGGACGAGGGACGCGTCTCGTGTCCTACCCCGCCACAGAGGTTACCTTCCCGCGCGCGGCCCCCGGCTCCCGGGGAGCAGGGACTGTCCTTCGCATCCTTCCCCTCTATTTTTAACTGCTGATAAATTGGAGAGACTCCTGGTTAAACCATGTTGGTTTCAAGGACGCAGAGGACAGTGACGGTAGCAGTTGACACTTCATTACATCAGAGACGCGAGCGGGAGGGGGCCCCCCCCCCCCGTCCTCCCGAGGTGGCTGGGGGGGGAAGCCGGGGGCTGCTCTCATCCTGCCCGTGCCCCTTGGGGTGCCCAGCCCCGCAGCGCTGCGGCACGCACCCCCGAACCTGGTCCGTGCAGGGCAAGGGTCCATGCCCCCGTGGCCCAGCAGTTTGCCGGAGACCCCCCCATCTCCGCGGGTGGGGGACGGCTCCTGCGGGGCTCCCCTGAATCCCCCTGGCTGCGAGACCCCCCCTGGGGCGGGGGCTGCGGCACTGCCAGCATCGCGCCCGCCCGTACTGTGGGAACAGGCCTGATGAGAAATGAATTTGAAAAACCAATTGTAAAAAATAGTTTTTAAGTCTCTCAGCCTTGCCCCTGGGGAAGGAGGACATGGTGTGTTTAAAATACGGTGCTTAAAATAAAAAATATTCTCCATGCTGGCAACCTATTTTGCTGGGTTCCTGATATTGCTGTTTCCAAGACCACGCGTACACCAGACCCCCTCCTCCCCAGGGACGCCGCAGGACGGCTAGAGCCAAGGTTAAAAATAAGGCTTTCAGGATGGTTTCCCAGCCTGGTGTCCTTCAAGTGTGGACTACGCCCAAAGCAGTCCTCTGCTAAACCTCAGCTGATGGAGGATGGATGGGATGGGGTGGGGTGGAATGGGATGGCATGGCATGGCACGGGACAGGACAGACAAGTGGACTCCCATACATGGTGCCCAGCGCAGGGGGCTGGAGCACGGTGGCCAAAGGATCCCCAGACCAGCTGCTGCTTCAGGGCACCCCAACATCTCTCTCCTGCAGCTGAAGCCAAAAGCCGGTGGGAAGAGAGCGTGGAGGCTCCTGCAAACGTCACCCCACTTCGCCCCAGGTCAGCCCTTCCCGAACAAAGGCTCCTGGTCCACCCGCTCCATGAAAGCTGCCAAGTCCACGAACCGTTCCGGCACACCAAGAGACTCTGCGGGGGGACATGGCTCCCCTCGACTCCCCACGGCTCGGAGGGGTCCTGGGGTGGGGGTGGCAGGGCACGGCAGCGTCCACCCTGCCCCGGCCCCCCTGAGCTGCCCTCCCTGCCCGCAGCGCCTGGGGCCAGGGCTGCTCGCAGCAAATAGAGGCAGGATTTATCTGTGCAGCAAAAAGCCGTTTGTCTCACAATTCTGCATGTGTCATGTATGATCTCGACTCGCTTATTTGCCCAGGAGCCTGCCCGAAAGCCTCACCTGGCTTCCCAGCACCACGAAATGGCTGTGGACGGCCAGGGTGCCTCTCCTCTGCCACGGGGGGGTCCGAGCCTGGGGTCTTCGGTCTGACTTGCCCAGTGGATTGAGGCACGTGCTCCCCCCTGCTCCAGGAGGAACCCCGAGCGCACGTCCTCCCAAGGCCTTTCCCGGTTTTTTAACCTGAGCCCCGCCACGTTTTGGGAGTCTGTTTTCCCACTGTTTCCCGGTGCCACATGACCAACGTATATGACAGTCCAGGAGAGAAACTCTGCATGATTTAACAACAAAAACCATGAAAAACTAATGGGATGGGCCCTCAGCTGGTGTAAACGATCATTGCTCCACCGAAGCCATTAGCAATTTGCACCAGATGAGGATCTGCCCCGAGGTTTGGAGGTGGCCACAAAACCAAAACCTCTCTCAGTTGTGGGTTTTCAGCATGCTCCAGCTGGGATCCCTGTGCAGAGGCACAAGCCCTTGTTGTTGTTTTGATCAGAGCTGCCTTTCAGTATCACAATGAAAAAAATGTCCGCAGACTTTGTTTTTTTTAAATAAGTGGATTTCAAAATGAAAGCAGGAACCCGCCCAGTCTCAAGTGGGAAAAAAGGCAAGGATCAAATTATGAGCAGAAGAGGGGCTGTGCAGGAGCGTTACCTGCTCCCACCTACCCTGACCCACCTACCGCCCGTGTGCCAAACGCCCCAGGTTTCTGACGCTGATCAGGCAAGCGGGGAGCGATCCCTGCAGCCGTATCTGGCGGGGCCGGGGCGGCATCCGAGCGGGAGGAAAGCTGCGGCCGCTTCCTCCGACCGGCACCTGGACCCCGGCCGGCAGCACGCTCCCGCTCCCCGGGGCCCTTGGCACCCACTGGCACCCCGCGATAAAGCAGCGGGGCCAGCGCTGGCGTTGCTCCCACTCGCCCTCCCCTGCATTGAAAATAGCCGTCAGTATCTGCTGGAGGTCCCTGGCCCGGCTGGCCGGGACGCGGAGACGAACGGCCCTTATCAGATGGGCCTCCAGGCAGGAGACCTGGCTGCTGCTGCACCAGGATCAAGGAGCTCCCAAAATACCAGAAATACGATTCAAAGCATTTTTCATGCCCAATGGAGCGGCAAAAGAGCAGCCTGAAAAATGTATTTTAATATATTTACTATCTTTTTTAGTTTTCTAGCACCGGGTAGGAAGACACGAGAATTTCTCCTTGCAACAGCCCCAGCATATTCCATTATTCCCCTGTTATTTTACTGTGGGATTTTTCCCACTATGCCCCAATATCCTCATATTTTCAGCTGCAGCGTGTTTGCTTTGATGATGCCTTAACCTAGAAATAGTCTGCAGTTGTTTACCCGCTGGTAGAGCTTCAAATATTATATTCTCACATTTTTAAATCAGTGCAGACACCTGAGACAAAAAGTGTCCCAAAAGCTGCCTACAAGAGCTACATGCTGGTCACTCTTTCTTGTCAAGGTTGATTTATTGCCTCCTTGCTGTTCAATTTCACATTTTGTCCTCATCATATCCGTGGCTCATGATCATTCTAGGCTGACCCTTGTAGGGCAGGCAGGGAATATTGATAAAACAATTATCTGTTAGCCGTTCATTTGATTTTCCATTTCAATTACGGATTGCACGAGGCAAAAGGAAAAAGATTGCATCATTGATTTTTCTACCTTACAACAGTAAAGAGTTGCTTTGATGGTTATAAAATGAATGCAACTCAACCATGCTTTTAAAGGTCATATTTTTTGTTTTACTATATTTCTTAAAAGCCTTAATATATGCAACTGTACAGGGGGAAGAAGCCTGCATCGTCGGATCAGGTAACTAGATACAAAGCACACATACGTCAAAGAAACACAGGTGAAAAAAACCCTCACTCTAATGTATTTACAATAAATCTGATCTTCTGCAGCAAACTCCTCGGAATCGTTCTGCAGCCGCGACGTGGCTCTGGAGTCAAACGCCTGCCTGCAAATGCCTCTCCTCGCATGTAGCTAAGGAGAATTTAACAAGCCGTTCCTGGAAAAGTGGCCTCCTGCCTGATGGAGAGCGCCATGCTCCGTCTCCCGGCTCCGCGGCATTACTGCACATTAAGAGTTTGTTCGGTTCACGCAATATGCAGAGAGCGGCAGCAAAAAGAGACGTATTATCCCTGCTAAACAGAACTATGTTAAAACTTCACCTATCTGAAGGGATGATAATGTGCTCTTGCCAGGCAGTGATCCGGGACGGTCACACTGGCGCAGGAGCGGTGCTGAGCCCACGGCACTCCATCACGGTTCAGCGCCCGGTGCAGCTCCGGGGGATTTTCACATGGCCGACCCTCGGAGAAGTTCAGCCTTTGATCAAGGTTTAGCGTGCCTGGAGTGGCCGTGGCGCAGGAAAGGGCTTCCATTTTCTGTGTCATAGGGTGCCAATGTTGATCTCCTTAAAGCCCTAGAGTTTTCTTCCAAGACTGGATTACGCTCAGCAATTAAGGTAATGAACTGGCTGAGGTAACAAAGCATAATGATCTCTTTTGTCCTCTGAATGCTTATGAACTCCGCTCATTCACAATAGTCTGGAATGCAAAGCTTTCTCCAACACTGCGCGGCTTAAAACTGTGTAAAAATGATTACTTCCATTATGCCTTCATGGTTTGACATTTTTAATTTAAACACCTGTAATATTTAAGCATACTTCTCAGAACCAAAATACCCACTCTCAAAGAATGCTAGCTTACATTCTTGTAATATTTTGACATCTTATGAGTATTATTTTAATGCCTGAAAAGATAATGTGATGAATCCATTGCAAATATATCAAAATATGTGTATAGGGGACTGTTTCTCACTTTTAGTTTCAAAACAATGGATTTTTCAAAATAAGGCACAACAGCTGAGAGAGCAGTAATATTTTCATAAGGCAGTATATTGTGTCAATAACGGAAACAGCCGAACCACATTGTCTCTGCATATGTGCAGGCAAACGCAACAGAACTTTTGCTTCAAATCAAGCCCTTTTATGCCATATTAAATACCGGCTTGCACACTGCAATCCTTTCCAAGCACAGGGTATTCTGATGCAGCTATTTCACTTTTTTAAAGCGTTTACTTAAGGTTTTATTTATTTATTTTGAAACATCTGGCTACTACTTTTACATTTTTTTCAAATTTTTTGCATGATATAAACCTTCTGCACTGCAGAATCCGCTGCACTCTGATCTTTCATCTTAACACATTTCCAGCCCCAAATTTCACTTCAATCTCACCTCATCTCTCCATACTACATTAACCCCTGGCAATTGCCTTCCAAATGACCCCATTAAGCTGTAATTGCCTCAGCAGGCCTGCACTTTCGCTTGTAATTCTGTACCTCTCATCTCCCAGACGTTCTCTCAGCATCATTTCGTGTTCTGGCTCCCTTCACTGAGCTCAGCTTATGACCTCGCTGCACCATGGCCGAAATGACTACTAAAAGCATAACAGAGACGGAATTCCATTACTTATTTTTAAAAGTTCTCTGGTGCCCTAATGTAATATTCTTTGGGGAGTGTTGTCAAGGATACCAAGCACCAGCCATTAAAACCTTTTGTTTCCCAAGGCATTCCGTCTTTTATTAATAAATAAAGATAAAGAGAAGCTCATCCACCCTCCAGAAAGTCAGCGTGTGCTTGCAATGGTCTGGTACAACTTCAATCCTTATTCTAGCCCTTGTACGTGGGGAACGGCCGCGTTACACCCAGGAGCAAGGAACGGCAGGCTGGCAGCAGCAGC